CACATGGACAGTAAGGTCTGTCCATGATCGTCCTCCGCTGCAAGCTCCTCAGACTGTCTGACCGCAGCAGGGTCTGGGGAGCCAAGGCACACCCGGGCGTGGACTAGGTGCTCCCAGTGTTCATAGAACTGAGTAATACCAGAAAACGCTCACAGCGTGGGAACTAAGGAAAATGGCTCAGGACACACATCTGTGTATTCAGTGTGGGGCTTGTGTTGTTAGGAAACACGTCAAAGAGGTATTTGTGGTTGCTCCCAGGTGTTCGGAGTATGGGAAAAATTTCCTCCTCCTTATTCCTGTTTTCCTTTTCTCACCTAAATGAATGGCGCAGTGTTTAAACTCCTCTGTGGAGGGTGCTGGCCATTCACTCCCTGAAGGACAGAGGGGAGCTTAGAGCGGTGACCCAGCCTCGGGCTGGACCAGCACCCTGCCCGGAGTGAGTGCTCGGGAGGTGTGTGCCCGATGGTTACTGTCAGGCTACAAAACGGTTTCCAACGACATTAAAAATGCAAAATGAGGACTGGATAGACTGCTTCGCTGCCTTATGGCAGTCAGAGGCTTTCCCTGAGTGTTTAAGAAAGTTTCTTTTTGAGTCCATAATCACCAGCGATACTTCGGGAAGCGGCTGGAAACCTCTCCGGTAACAGTGCCTAGTTCTGTTTGGAGGAAAAGCCAACCCTAACTGCTAACTCAGCGCTCAGCCCGCTCCTCTGCCCCCGGAGCGCGCTCTCCTGCCGCTGGGCTCCGGGGTCCTCCGGGCGCCGCTCTGTGGTCCGCCTGCTTCTGGCCGCGTGGGGCGGGAGGGTGACCAGAAGCCGCGAAGCGGTGCTTTGGCCACGGATGCTGCTCCACAGCGCAGACTGCGGGGCTCCTCGCCACGCACCCCGACTGTCACACAGGGTCCGCGGGCCGAGTCCGGGCCTGGTGTGTTTCACATTTTTATTTTATTGGTCCACATTTGCAGCACACAGGGATCGCATTGGTGGTGCGGAGTGGTGCCGTGTACGTAGCACATCTTTGACCGGCTTCCTCTCCCTCGCACCCGCTTTCCTTCAGCTCTTGGTTCTCATCTGCAAAGAGCTCTCCTCCTGCAGCCTGTGAATGACGCAGGCGAGTGGGTAAGAAGCGGTGGTGTCTGTGCCAGTGGAGTGCCTCTCTGCCGTAAGGACACACGAGGCACCGGAAGGAAAAGGGATGCACCTTGAGACCGTCATGTTATGTGAAAGAAATCAGACACACAGGCTTAAAGATCCCATGGTTTCTCCTGCAAAGAGACTCAGAGTACAGGCAAAGAGCAAAGCACAGACAGATGGTGAGCGAGGCAGGTGAGAGCCGCACGGTCTGCCCGGCTCTCGGCAGGTCGGCTGGGCTGTCTGCTGGCGTGGAGGGGGCCCGGGGCGGATCTGTGTCTGCTCTCCCAGGCGGGCAGACTGCGTGCTCCTGCAGCTCAGAGACGCGAGCCCAGCCTCTCACTGACCGCCGGCCGCACTCAGCTTCCGTGGGCCTCCCAGGTCTCCGTGCCGAGATGCCCGCCGCCCGCTCTTCCAGAGCTGAGGGGAGCGGCTGGAGGAGCCCGTGGCTGGGACCCCCGGGCCGGGCAGCGGGTCCTATGATCCACCTCCACGCAGAACCAAGTCCCGTCCCTTCCCGCTCCGGGGAGCGGTGCCCATGAAGCCAGCAGGTGCGGGCCGGGGCTCCCCGAGGCCGCCCACCACTCCAGGGTAGAGTTTCACAGGCAAGAGAAGGCCTTGCGCAGGCGAGGGTCAGGGCGGCCGGCGCCCAGGGGCTGCTGTCCCGGCTCCCGCCCTGTTCGCTGTGCTGCCCTGGGACCCCGGGCCCTGCCCCCACTCCCTCCTCCCGCACAGGCGGACGCGGCGGGCCGGGCGCGGACCCTGCGGTGGAGCGGGTTCTCGGAATGCCCACCCGCCCTGGGGACCACGGCCTCTCCCCGGCCCGCCCGTGTCCTCTGCCTGCACTCCCGGGACCGTGGGTCAGGGCTGCCTCTGAACCGTCAGCTACAAAACCTGAGCCGGAAGGCTGGCGAAAACCCCCACGCCGCGGGCAGGCGCGGGGGTGCAGGGCCCGGAGCCAGGGAGGCCCGCCCCTGCTGCAGCCTCCGGCCTCGCCCCCGCGGCCCGGCAGGGGCGGCAGCTGCAGCCCTCCTGGTGCTCGGGGAGCGGCCTGGAAACTTTACGAGATTCCAGAAGCGGCAAGGTCATCAGTTTCGCAGCCGGCCCCTCCGTTTGTAAACACAGCCTCCTCGGGACCCTGATGTTTGGCTCCGTGGCAGGAAGGAGGCCGAAGTTAACTCCCGCGGGCCAGGGGCCCACGAAAGCAAGGAGAGACATTCTGTCTGCCTGACTGCAGGCCTTGGAGTAACTTAGACCCAGCAAACGACAACTGCAAGCCAGTGGCGTTCAGAGAGCTTGATTTCCAAAGGCCCTGGGTGTCAAGGCCGTGTGTGTGTGTGTGCATGCGTGTGTGTGTGTGTGCGAGTGCGTGTGTGTGCACGTGTGTCTGTGTGTGTGTAGGGGAGAAACAGGAAAGGAGGAGTGGAGGCAGAAAGTGGTGGAGAGGGGTTAAACCACCCTCACAAATGCCTGCAGCTGAGCCAGGCGCCGCTCCTGCGCCCTCAGCACCTCCTCAGGGGGCTGCGGAGTGGAGCGGGAGCCTTGGGCTCCCTTCCGCCGGTGCCTGGAGTCTGGTGCCCTCATGCCGAGCTCCCCGGTCGGGATCTGTTCTCTCCCGGGACTCGGATTCTGCCTGCGGAGGAAGGCAGTGAGCCCATGGCGGAGGAGTGGAGTCACGGTGGCCCACGGTGTGGGGCGCAGAGCCGGGGGCTGGGTGGGGAGGGTGGGGGGCTCCTCAGGCTGAGGACCTGCTCTGGGTGCCGGGACGCCAGCCCGGGAAGGCCTGGCCGCTGCTTCCTGGCAGGGAAAGGACGAGTCTGTGGAGGGGGTGAGCAGACTGAAGAGCAAGAAAGACGGAGGAGGACCTCGTCTTTCTTCCAGACTCTGGGAGGAGGAGACGTTCAAGGAGTGGCTTCCGGGAAGTGTGCCCAAGCGAGCGGGGCTCCGGCAGCTGCTGGCTGCCCCTCGCAGGCCAGTCTCCGGGGTGTTCCCTAAAGAAAGTGGCCCCCTGCCAAGGGAATTCCCTGCTGGGGAGCTGACCAGGTCAGGCTGAAGGCGAGCCTGCTGTCTCCTCTCCCCGGGACACACAGGGCCCCACGCAGCTAGGGACCTCGTCCTCTGGGACTGGGGCCCGCTGCACCGCATGACCCGGAGGGACACAGCTCGCAGCAGAAAGCAATGCAGATGCCCGCTTTGACAGTCTTGTGGATCTTCTGATCCCGGGAAGTCATTTGGCTTTGGGTTCTGGTTAAAACAACCAAAAGTTTTCAAAGCGAGGGTTTGGGCATTGTGTGAAATGCACAAGTAGGACTGACAAGGGAGGATTTCAGGATGCTTTCTTAACCCGACATGCCGTTACGGAGCCACGGTGCCGACAGTGTACCGTGGATTGTCATTCTGTGCGTTTTGCAATTAATCTTTGAACAACGTAATTACACGCCATTGCATTTTTGAGCATTCAGAGTATAATTTTGTTAACTATAAGCATTTAGCACAGGTCTTTGTTTTACAAACTCTTCTGGCACATCTTCATATTGTAATTTGTTTTGAGGCTTAAGAAGCAGAAGTGACCTGGGCGTGGGAAGCAGCAGGACTGGAGGCAGCAGGTACCCCGGGTTTCCAGTGGGGTCTCTTTCACCTGGGGCTTGTACCGCGGCACGTGAATTTTCTGGGTTTGTCTCTCAAAGGACGTCGTCCCGTCTGAAATCAAGGAACGCCTCGTGGGGGACCAGGTAACAGCTCGCGCAGGGCTGTCACCCGCTCAGAAGCGAGTGCTGGGCTTCCTTTAGCACCGTCTCGGAGTGCTTTCTGCATGGTAAGAGAGGTCCGAGGTAGTAAGGACAGGAAAAGAAAACTGTACTGTAGTGCAGGCTCCGAGAAGCGCGCAAGAGTCAGGAAGGGTGGAAGGCGCTTGCCTGCCCCAGAAGCCCCGGCTCCCCCGACGCTCGGTGCCGCGTTGTGCTGAGCACTTTCCATAGACGTCTGCCCGGGGCACCGTCAGTGTGCAGCCTGCCCGTTCCTCAAGCTCCGTCTCCTTCCTGCTTCACGTGAGGTTTCCTGGAATGCCCTGCTGGACATGACCGCGCATTCCCACTTGTTCTCATGATTCACTCAGAGCACATCCTCTCTTTCATCTGTTTCTTTCCTCTCTCTCCCATCTATCTGTCTATCTATCTATCTATCTATCTATCTATCTATCATCTATCATCTATCTATCATCTCTGTCTATATCTATCTCTCATCTATCTGTCTGATCTATCTCTATCATCTAAATACCTGTCCTGCCCTTCCCTCCAGTGAGACACTAATATTTGTGCAGTACTTCACAGTGCCCGAGTGATTTCATGTACATTTTGTCACTTAATTCTCAGCGGCTGCGTAACACCAAGGCTAACACCTCAGAGAGATGAGGGTGCGCGTGGACTGACCGGATACACCGAGACTGTAAGTTGAAGTCGTGTAAGGTATCCAGAATTCAGCAGCTGAAGAAGGTAGGAGTCCACAAAGGCCAAGTTGCGTAGATGTGTATGTGTGGTGTTGGATTCTGTCACATTCAAAACCTGCGACTTTCAGTGGTGGAGACACATGGGGATTTTAGGAGCCAAAGGAAATGGTCTGCTCAGCAGATCAAGCTGGGCTGAGCTTCAGACCTCTGTCAGCCGAGAAGCAAGTGATGTCCCTACTCCAGTCTCAGGATGTGACCCCACCCCTTCCCAAGTCACATGATCACCAGCGTGTGACCTCCAAGCCACCCAAACCTCGGCAAGTAGTAACTTCGAGAATGCTGAGTTGACAACTCTCCACACTTCTTTTTTTTTTTTTTTTTTTTTTTTTTTTTTTTTTTGTTTTTTTCAGGTACCGGGAATCGAACTCACGACTTTGCACTTGCCAGGCAGGTGCTGTGCCACTGAGCTAAATCCCCAGCCCCCACAACCCTTCTTCAGGTGACATGACAGTTTCCTTGGTTTTTGCAGTGGACATCATCCAGGAAGTCTGAGTCTGCAGAGCTTATGTCCAGCCAAGCAATTCTTTGCAAGATAATTACAGTAAATACGGAGTCTGATCGTCTCCTTCCCTAGGTAAACATCTTTGGTTGCCTTGACATCTTATGTGTACAAACATTTAAAGTCATTAAAACCATCACGTTAATATTTTTGTGTGGAGAAGGCCATGTTTGGTACTTCTGCACACTTGTCATAGCTAGCAAACCTTGATCTATTAAAATGACATTCATGTTATTCTCTTTTAAAATGTATAATTGAGATATAACCAAGTGGATATTCCTGTCAATTGTATTTATAACACAATTTATTAGATTAAATGCTGGGGAATATCTGTTGGTCAGATAATTGATGCCCCTAAAATAAAATTGAAGGTTGGGGCTGCAGCTCAGTGGTAGAGCACACCTGCTTAGGTAGTATGTGAGGCCCTGGATTTGGGTCCTAGCAGCACACTAGCACACACATGCACACCGTGTATAAATGCACTTTAAACTACTTGAAGACACTTAATTTCTAAGGTTACAAATGTAACCAAGTAAAAAGGACTAAAAAGCTAGCTAAAACTTTCCGTACTTATTGGTAGAAAAAAGTAAGATTTGTAAGCTGAATGTAAAACCTGAAAATAATCTTCCGGGGGAGTACTGTGGATTGAACTCAGGGCCTTCACACTGAGGTACAGCCCCACCCCTTTTTATTTTTTGTTTTGAGATAGCCTCCTGCGAAGTCACTAAATTGGGCAGCCTGGGCTCAAACTTGAGATCCTCCTGCCTCAGCTTCCCGGAGTGCTGGGATTACAGGTGTGTATTACCATACCCTGGCAAAAAAGAAAATATGTTTTTAAAATGTTGTCTGATAAACTGATTACTAATGGAAAACTTCCTAGATAAAATGCGCACTCTTTTTCTCAGTATATAGAACCCTTCAGGGCATCGAGTGCCTTGACAACAAAAGGGGTCCTGGCCAGCCTAGCACGCGGCACCAGGACAACCTCCCCAGCATAGGTGCCGTCCCTTTCTGGCAAACCCTGCTGTCCCGGCCCTCCTGGGCCCTGTGCTCCCTGGCCTCGGACGTGGCGTCCTCTGTCTTCTTGCACTACTGTACTTGCTGACACGGAGCCAGGCGGGGTGCGCGAGGGGCCTCAGTCGTTGTGTCATACACCAACACTTGTCGCCTCTGCACGAGTGTGGCGGCTGGCCGCCTCTCTGTGACACTGCTGAGCTTCGAGAGAGGCTGGGCTGTAGCCTTGCAGGGTGCCAGTCCTGCGCTCTGGGGCAGCGGGCGCCCACGGCAGGGCTCTCTGCCTGGTCCAGGCTGAGCTCCTCCTGCCCTGCAGGCCCTGAGCTCCAGCCCGGTCCAGCGCCTGCGCCTCTGCCCTTGAACAGCCCAGGTCCTCTCCACAGGTGGTCAGGCCTCGCTGTGACCTGCGGGGCTCGCTGAGAATGAAGTTGCCCATCTGGATCTGTGTGTGTTTCCTCAGGGTCCCTGTCCTGCGGCAGGCTCGGGCTGTGTGCCGCGCAGCTTCCTGCAAGGCCTGGGGAGCACAGGGGCTGCGGGCTCCCTGCTGGCTGGCTGAGGAGGGGCATCACCCATCGACTTTCTGGCGATCTTTTGCACTGGCCTGATCTCCACTCACCAGGAAGGGTTTGAGATGAAATCTTATCAGACAGATAGGGGACGCGATGTCTGTGATTCCTTCCAGGCCAGTGAGCCTTTTGCTCTGGGAAGCCTGTGTGTGGCTGTGTGTGTGTGTGTGTGTGTGTGTGTGTATAAGAGAGAGACAGAGAGACAGAGAGAGGCAGAGGGAGAAAGGGTGAGACAGAGACAGGGGAGAGGAATGGGAAACGAGAGAGAGACAGAGAGGGATATCGAGGGGCAGGGAGTGAAAAAGATGAGCTGAGGCGAGAGCTGGCGGGCGAGGGCAGGGTCAGGGCTAGGGAAGGCCCGGTCCCCGCAGCTCCTCCAAGCCGGTGCCATCGAATGGTCAGGGAGACCCAGGTCAAGCCCTGAGCAACAGCGAGCTTAGCTTTTCCAGATGATTAGGGGCTGGGGATTTAGCTCAGCGGCAAAGCGCCTGCCTGGCAAGCGCAAGGTTGTGAGTTCAATTGCTGGTATCGGAAGAAAAGAAAAAAAAAAAAAAAAAAAAAAGAGATGATGAAGGCTTCCCTGCGAACTGCACCCCCGCTACTGTGCCATCCCAGGGGGAAGAACTCCAGCTCCAGCCGGGATTCCCCTTCCCTGGACACTCCTCGCTACACGCTTTGTTTTCAGAATCTGACCTTGGGAACCCCTCAAGCCACAGCTTTTTGATGCTGTGGAGACGTGGCTGTGGGGTGACGGAGAGTGAGCGTGGCTGGGGTCTCGGAGCAGGCCCCTGGGTGTCCCCCTCCTGGAGCCTGGGGACGGTGGCCTCTCGCTGGACGGAGACCAGGGGCTCAGCCGCTGCCCCTGTGCTGCTCGCTGGCTGCTGGGTGGATTTCTGGAGTGAAAAGACAATATTTGGAAAGTTCCCCAGACCCACTTGACCCCCATTTCCCCTCGCAGAGCGCTGCCCCCACGATGAGGTTCTCACGGGGTGCCCGGTGGGTCACAGTGTCCCCCAAGCTCGAGGCAGGGTGGCCCTGGCCTCCGTCCTCCTTGCCAGGGGCCTGCGCTTTGGGAAAGGTCGTGCAATCATTATGCTTATTTGTTCTACTTCTACTTTACTAATTCCTGTTTATATTCAGAAGCCAGGCTGAGCTTCCTCCCAGACCTGTCAGTCCCTGTAAAAGCAAGCAGCTGTCTCCCAGGCCCTGCACCTTCTGGGAGATCATGGCTTCCTCTCCCGCGCAGGCCAGGCGACACACACACACACACACACACACACACACACACACACACACACACCCCACACACACACACACACACTCTGTTTTCAGCCTCTGGCTGGTTAGTGTGAATCAAGGGAGCTCCCAGTCATGACCGAAAATGGACTTACAAACCCCGGGGGAGTTGAAATGTCTCAGAAAATGCAATTCAGTTTTCTGTTTATCTTTCTCAGTGTGTTTTTAAGATGTTCTGGCAGAGATTGTTCGGGTTGATGAATGAGGTTTGCACCAGGTCTGTCCAGATCGGGAGGCAGGAGATAGGAGTCTCCCCTCTCTCTCGGAGGGGGAACCCATGGCGCTGCCTGTGGGTGGCCAGAGGCGTGGGGGAGGGGAAGAAAAAGCCGTAAAAGTTTCAGCTCTCAGACACACACTCCCTGCTGTGAGGACAGTCGCCGCTCTGCGCAAGGGCTCCCCACGCTGTCCGTGTGGGGCGGGCTTGGCATGTGCCTGGCTCCTGCCAAGGCTGTGGAGCTTCCAGGGCTTCACAGACTGTGACACAGGAAGCTACTGGCTCGGCCCTTGATTGCTGCATTCGCCGGGGAGGGCACTTGCCCAGGGCACTGTGACATGTTCTCATTAAGCTCCAGCGTCTGCTTGACTTTACAGGATTTGATTTATTTTTCTGTGGAGCTTTCATAGTCACTCTAATTAAAAATAACCACATGTTCCTGTGTGCACGCTCTGTGGACCTATTTTGTTTTACACACTGGACTGTGCTATGTAGACCTTTTTTTATTTCTGACTATAACGTGATCATCTTTCCAAGGCTGTAAACACTTCTTTTGCTTTCACTGTTTCACATTTCCTGCGCACACATTCATTCCAGCGGGTGAACGAGCCGTCATCTCGCTAACAAATCTCTCCTTGTTGGGTGTTCTGATGGCTTATGCTGCATTAACGTTGCAGTGGTGGTGGTGGTGAACACACTGCTCGCTGGTGCACAGGACTGTACCCAGGATAAATGGGTAGAAACGGAATTTCCAGGTCAGTAGTGGTAACTCCCACTGCAGACATTCACGAGTGAACGCCCCACCACACCGGCGCTAGTTTACACTTTCTCCACTTCTCTGTATCCCAGCCTGCACACCGAGACTCCTTACCTTACTGAGAGGTACAGCGGCACGTTAGAAAACTGACAACTCCAGAGAATTTAAATACTTGCCAGGAGCTACAATTTCACACTCACGGATGCTGAGCACCCCTGCGCCATTCTGCAAGCCCATGGGGACGCACCGTCCTCCCGCGGTATCTGCCCGGACGAGTTCCAGGACGCCCTTGGGTTCAGGCCCATCTGTAAAATGCCTCCATGAGGGCAGGCGAGTTGGCTCATGCCTGTCATCTCAGCATTCAGGGGGCTGAAGCAGGAGGATCACTGCAAATCTCGGCCAGCCTGGGCCACCTAGTGAGTTCAAGGCCAGCCCGGATTATGTAGCAAGACCCCTTCTTAAAAACAAACCAAAAAGATGCTGCGGTATCTTCACATAACCATATACATTCTCTTGTTTACTTTGAATCATCCCTAGATGACTCTCACTACCTGAAATAATGTGAATGCTGTATGTCATCTGCATATTTAGGAAAAAATGACAAGAAAAACTGTATATATGCAGTGTAGACAATTTTTTTCCAGTATGGGGATTGAATGGAGGGCCTTCACCTGGAGCTACATTCCCAGCCTCCAGCCCCCTTTAATTTTCACTTTGTGACAGGCTCTCCTAAGTTGCCTGTGGTGTGTAAATAAACACTGCACTGTATCCATTCATCTGCTGATGAATGCAGAGACCACCTCCAACATTTAACTACTGTGACTTGTGCTATAAACATGGTTTTGCTCTTCAGTTCCCCCTGAACACCACAAAGCTAGAACAGTCTTCCTTCAAATTTTAAGAAATGAATAACGCGCTCAGGCGCCAGCAGCTGCATCTTCTCCCCACCTTCTCTCCGTGCTCCCCAAAAGCAGCAGAAGTGAAGACAAAGAGGAGAGGGGCGCGGAGGAGAGGAGCCAGACGGCGCATCAGATGTGCCTACAGCCTTCCCTGTGTGCAAGCCCTCCTGTCTGTCCACAGCCGCCTGCCTGAGCAGCTATGGCCCGTCCTCTGTCCACCTGCCTGGCCGGCCCACTGACACTCTGCTCTTTGCTGTCTAAGCCCCGGCTGCCAGGATGGCTTTTTGTGCAAGGCTGGTCTCAGCAGTACAGTCAGCCCTCTGCACCGAGGCTTGTGTGGACTCAGCAACCAGAGGTTCAAAATATTTGTAAATGATCCACGCATAGGGGTACCCACTTGTAATCTCACTGTGGGAGGCTGAGGCAGTTTTTCTATTTACGTTTCTATTCACATGGAGTAGTACTCTGCTGTAAAGAAGGATAAACTTGAGTCATTTGTAGGAAAATGGATGTGCCTCGAGACCATCATGTTTAGGGAAATAAATAAGATGCACAAGTTTAAATACTGGATGGTCTCTCTTACATGAGAAACCCAGGGTATAAATAAAAAGCTAAATAAAAGATAGATGATATAAAGTAGGGAGATAGACCTTTCTCTAATGGCAAGGAGAACAAGAGACGGGAGGGGAGGGGAGGTGGGGGAGAAGATGAGAAAGGCCCTGGCTGTGCTATGTTCACCCACCGAGTCCACACAGGACGCAGACAGATGCACCGCAGATGTGGACTGACGAAAATGAACCCTAGAGGGAGTGGAAGAGAAGGCTCGTGGGCAGTCCTGATGACCTCATAGTGTACAACTGGGAGCATATTCTACTTTTTTGCTTTGAAACTAAAAAAATGAAGATTAATCTTGAAAAAAAGATCTCAGTTCATCTTTTTTGAAGACACTTTTCTATTTACATTTCGAAAATCATTTAAAAATATTCATTCAATAATAGTGTAATTTTTTTTAAATTCAGGACGTTAAATATCATACATTGCCCTATTACGATAAAGCTACACGGCTGCTCTTCAGAGGGCTGGATGGCTGAAAGTCCGGCAGGTTAGAGATTCGGGTAATAAGACGTTCAGGCCGAGAAGCAAGGGAAAGAGGCGGAGGAAGAGGCGGGGAAGTGGGAAGCGTGGGCGTGCTGTCCCAGGTCCTTTTCTGACGCACAGGCTCCTTGTTTCAGAATACCTGAGACTCTTGGGGAATATTTTTCGAGCATATTTTTCTATTTGCCTGCGTAACTTGTTAGACACAAAATGAAATTTAGAGCGCGGTCATAGTCGTGTCATATTCTCCTGTGCAAAAGGCGACTGCAGAGCCAGAGAGCTCTGGGCCGTGTGGGGCCGCCCCAAGCCCTGAGCCGGGCTCCATCTCTCCTTTCGGTTCCTGAGCAGGTCCACTGGGCCCAGAGAGGGGATGATGTAGCCGGTAGGGAAGCGCTCTGCAAGGCAAAGGACATTTCCTACAAATGTAAGCCTTTAAAATTATTATTCTTTTCTTTTCTTTTTGAGACAGGATCTCACTGTGTAGTCCAGGCTGGCCTTGAACTTGCAGTGATCCTCTTGCCTCAGCCTCCCCAGTGCTGGGATTACGGGTGTGCGGCACCACACCCCAATTGAAAATTATTAATCCTTTCTTCGGACCACTATAACTCCCACAGGTAGCCCTCCCAAGACTCAGCGAGGTGGTCATCTATTGTCAGGTCAGAAAGCCCCATGCCTTTCAAGTTGTCGTCAACACAGAATAAATCCCAAGTAGCATATGTTGGACCAGTTTTGCTGTGGTAATGACAACTGGTTTTCCTTAAGTACCTGTTTCCAATTCTTCCAGCGCTATAGACGAGGCTCACTTACCTCCAGCAGGCTGGGGACCAGGTCTACCGAGACCGGTTAGATACACATAAACCTCACTGATTGATACTTCAGCCAATAGATAGTCAGTGTTGGCCAAGAGTTTCATCACAATTGGCCAAGAGTGTTATTTAAAAATGAATAATAATAAAACAGGAGTGACACAGTTGTCGTGGTGCACATTGTGTTTGGTTAGTAGACTATAATCTGCTAGCGTAAATTTCTCACTTTGTGGAAAATGGGAAGGTAGCACTTTACGTTCCGCTCTTGTGCAATGGATCCGCTTACCCAGCTGCGCAGCACCAGTTAGTTAAGGCACATAAAGTAATATCCAAGCGATATCTTTCTCCGGGCCTTTGCTTGAGACATTTGAGTCTTTCAATCATCACTCCTTAGAAGCGTTCAATACCTTTCTCAGAGACCTCCCTCTTCCTTCTATTTTTATCTCTCATACTATAGAGAAGTTGGCTTTTCCAGATCCCTGGAAATCCCCCAGCAACTGTTAAGTGCTGCTGATCTGGGTGGGCTGCGATGTTTTATGTAGGCTAATCTAGCAGGGAGAAGTATGCCGGATTATCTGGGGCCGTATCTTGGTCTCCAGTACAGTGATCCTTGGTTTAGATGAAGGGAGTCGATGGTCCTGCCCTGGGTGAAGGGATGGATGGAGGACTGGAGTTGCCCACGTTGACCTTTGGCCTTTCAAACCTGGAGTAACGTGAACCTCTCCCCAGCGGCGCTGCCAGGCCAGGCTGCTTGAGCATCTGGCCCGAGTGCAGCCTTTCCCAGAGACAGGCCTGTGTGTTTACTCTGCACACAGTGGAGAGTGACGGAAAGTCCCTGCTTATCTGAAAGCGGGGGCCAGGCCATGAGATAACAACAGACTGTTTTAAAAGCATTTCTATCCAGAAAGAGGAACTTAGCAAGGCACTGAGGCGGGCTGTCTGGCTGTCATGGCCTGAGCAGGGTCTGCCTCATCCCTGCCCAGCCCTGGTGTCCATTTAGGAGAACGCAAAGGTGTGGCTGGGGAGGGAAGTTTATGCAGCACTGATGAGCCTAAAACCCTAAGAACTGGCAGTAGTGAAAGGAGCTCGTCTTGCCTGTGAAGTACAGACAGGGCCATTTACTCGTGAATCTCCCCTCCGCACTGCCGATGACAACGGTCAGCTGAAGGGCCTGCTATTCACAGTGCTTCACAGGGCCTCTTACCGACGCAACAAGCGGGGGTCCAGTGATTGTTTGAAATACTCATCCCTGACACAGGTAGAGGCTGCTGGACGCAGTTGAGGGGATGACATGTGTGTCTAAAGCGGTGAGACTCTCTCTCCACACTGCAGTGTTAGGAGCTGCAGTCAGTCAGTGGGCAGAGAAGTAAATAGTACAGTAATGGTAACTGCATAAAGCTGCTCTCAGTCCAGCGAACATGGGGAAAACACTTAAGATTCCATCCTATACTTCTTTCGTCCTCACCCACGGCCCAGTCACAACCTGTGATGTTCCTGCCGGGGAGATAGCTCAGCCGCACAGTGCCTGCCTAGCAACTGCAAGGTCTTGAGTTAGAATCCTGGTACAAAAAAAAAAAAAAAAAAAGGACCAATAAAAGATGGTGCCGAGGCCCCGCCAGCTTTCCAGCGTACGGACACCCTTCCTGTTTGCTGACTCTGCCTTCGGGACCCTACAGAGGACTCGTCCTCTCCGAGAAGAGTTTCTCCCCAAGACAACGAAACACAGAATCATTTCTGCTTATTTTTCAGTAAACTAGGGCATGTCAGTTTGATGCGGTTTCTCAGAATGAGTTTGCGCGTTTCGAGGGGCAGGAAGGACGGTGTGGCTGGCAAGGAGGGAAGCCCCCCGAGTGGCAGAGGAGACAGAGGCAGCAGAACCAGTTCCTCGGGACGCTGGGCTTGCAAAGGACCTGGGGTTTTATTACAGCGCAGATGGAAGCCGTTAAAGAATTTGGAGCCAGAAAATGACATAATGTGAAGTGTAATTTGGCTTACACCCCCATCAACCCCTCGCCTGCCCTGCCCTTCCCTCCCTCCCACACGAGGTGGGGAGAGTTGTAATGCGTACGTTTCGCTCATATCCACCCCATCACCCACCCTTACACGGTTCGGACTCCCCGTACCCCTCCTCACGCCCGATAATGATCTCCTTGGTGCTTTCTTGCGGTCTTTTCTAGATTCCACGTGTTGGCGGGGGGATGTGACGTTTGTCTTTCTGATCCCGGCCTATTTCACTCAGTGGCATGGGCTCCAGCTTTGCCCATTGTCTCACAAACTTCCATTTCTCCTTTTGGCTGAATAACGCCCATGTGTACACGTACCACATTTTCCTTATCTGCTCATCTGCTGACGGGGTCTAGGCTGGCTCCATATCTCGGCTGTCGTGAGCTGTGCCGCAGTAAACAAGGACACGCAGCTTTCCCTGCCGCTCGCTGGCTGTAATTGCTTCAGGTGTGCAGCCAGGAGGGGAACAGCTGGAGATGTGGTAGCTCTATTTTTAGCTTTTTGAGGAACCCTCCTGCTGATTTCCATAGTGGCTGTACTAATTTGCATTCCCACCAGCAGGGTGAAGGGTTCTTTCTCTCCCGCATCCTTGCCAGGATGTATTGTTTATTGTATTCTCCACGAGAGCCCTTCTGACGGGGGTGAGATGGAATCTCAGTGTTGTTTTGATTTTCATTTCCCTAGTGGCTAACGATGTTGGGCAGTCTTTCATACATTTATGGGTCATTTTTATTTCTTCTTTTGGGAAGTATCTATTCAATTCATTTGCCCATTTTTTATTGGGCTACTTGCTTTTTTGGTGTTTGTTTTTTTGAGTTCTTTATATATTCTGAATATTACTCTTTTCCTGGAAGAGTAGCTGGTAAGGATTTTCTCCCATTCTGTAGGCCCCCTCTTCGTTCTGTTACTTGTTTCCCTTGCTGTACGGAAGCTTTCTAGTTTAATGTCATCCTGCTTGTTGATTCTTGCTATTATTTCCTGTGCTATTGAATTGCTAGTCAAGGAGTCTTTGCCTGTGTTTATAGCTTCAAGTACTTCCCCTCTGTTTTCTTTGAGTAGTTTCAAGGTTTTAGGTCTTATACCTAGGTCTTTGATCTATTTTGAATTGATTTTTGTACAGAGTAAGAGATAGGGATCTAGTTTCAGTCTTCTACCAGTGGATCTCCAGTTTCCCCAGGACCTTTTGTTAAAGAGACCGTCATTTCTCCACTGTGTATTTTCAGCTCCTTTGTCCAGAATCAAATGGGTAGCTGTGCGGGTATGTTTTTGTCCTCTACTCCGTTCTGTTGATCTACAGGTCTATTTTTGTGCCAGTAACATTCTGGTTTTGCTACTATGGCCTTGCGGTATCACTTGAAATTGGGTGTTAGGATCCTGTCAGCCTAGCTCTTTTTATTTGGGGTACCTTGGTTATTCTGGATCTTTTTTGCTTCCATATGAATTTTAAGATTTTTTCCAGTTTTATGAATAATGTCATTCGTATTTTCACAGGGATTGCATTAAATGTGTAGATTGCTTGTAGTAATACGGCTATTTTTTTTTTTTTTTTTTTTTTTTTTTTTGGTTTTTCTCCGGTACCGGGAACCGAACTCACGACCTTGCGCTTGCCAGGCAGGCGCTTTTGCCGCTGAGCTAAATCCCCAGCCCAATACGGCTATTTTGACAACATCAATTCTGCCAATCCATGAACATGGGATTTACGTCTCTGGTGTCTTATTGAATTTCCTCTTCAGTGGTCTCAAAATTTCACCGTGGAGGTCTTTCAAATACTTGGTAGATTGATCCCTAGGTATTTTATTTTCTTTGAAGCTATTGTAGATGGCATTGTTTTCCTGATTTTTTTCTCAGCTAGTTCAGTATCAGTGTAAGCTATTGATGTTTACATATTGATTTTTTAAACTGCTTTTTTGTCCTACTTTGCTGAGTTCATTTGTCAGCTCTAACTGTATTTTGGTAGAGTCTTTAGGGCCTTCTAAATATTTGATAATAACTGCAAACAAAGGTAATGTGACCTCTTCCTTTCCTATTTGTATCCTTTATTTTTTCCTTTGGACTCTTGCTGTAGTCAAAATTTCAAGAATGACATTGACTGAAAGTGGTGAAAGTGGACATCCTTGCTTTGTCCTGACATGAGAGGAAATGCTTTCAGTTCTTCCTGTTCAAAATGACGTTTGCTGTCAGTGTATAGCAGATGGGCTTTATTATATTGAGGAGTGATCCTTTAATATCTAGTTTCTTAGGGATATTCATGAAGGGATGTTGAATTTTGTTGAAGTCTTTCTGTATCACTTGAGAAGATCATGTGATTTTTCATGAGATTGAAGTGGCAATAAAATGTTTTCCAAGTGTGGAGGACCACCTGGGTGTCTCTCCTTGAAAGAGGAGCTGTTGTTTCCATTTTGGCTGAGCCTGACCCTATTTCCATGTATTGATATGTACAGAGCTGGTGAGGACTTTTCCTTATCCCTCCAGTTGGCTTTAAGCAATGCATATCAGTCCTGCCAAGGTGCTGATGGAAGTCTTTGAAGATGGCAGGTGTGTTTCCCCAGAACACCTGTTGTTCCCATGTGTGAGCTGGGATGAGGCAGGATGTGTGAGCCAATGCTCCACACTGTCAGCTGGGATCAAGCCTCAAGATAGAAGCTATGACTTCCTGGGGCTTGAAAGATTACATGTCAGAGTTGAAACACCGCCCCAAAACATTAGATACCATCTCAGTTGTGTCACGCAGATCGCTCTTTCTGAAGATCCTTCTTTGCATTTGCAGAGGTGACTTCAGCCCTCCCACCTAGCCCAGCTCAGGGCACTCAGCTACTTCCCACCATTCTCACAGTCACTCACCCTCACGCCACTCCCTGCTTCACAAATGAATAAAACCCAGATTCAGCCTTGGGTGGAGGCCTTTGTTCTGGATAGCTGTCATCATGGCTGGACTTAGGATCCCTTGGCTCCCCATAACTACATATATGCATTAATGTCTTTATTCTCACCATGGGTTACACTGGAAGTGGTAGACTGGAATTAATTTGCTAGGATTCTAATAACTTTTCCGTGGGATTATAAATATATGTTTCTTGGGCCTCGCTGAGGACCGGGAAGGGCTCTCCATACCAACAAAGCAAGCCCAGTACCAGATGGGGTAATGGCTGAGTTTTACCAAACATTTAAAGAAGAGCTAATACCAAGGGTCCTCAAACTAGTCTATGAAATAAAAAGGGAAAGAACACATCCAAACTCTTCCTAGGAAGTCGATATCACCCTGAAACCAAAACCAGACAAAGACACAGCAAAAAAGAAAAGCTATAGACCAATATCCTTGATGACGGTGAAAAATTCTTTAAAAAATACAAACCAAAGTTAGCAACACATTAAAAAGATCACACACCATAATTAATTTCAGGGGTGCTAGGATGGTTGAACATGTTCAGGTCAATGAGTGCAATACACACAGAAACTGGATCCTGCTGCACAGTTCCAAAAGATCCTCCTGAGTGCTTTGGATGGCAGTGTATTGGAAGAGGACCAGGGCGGTGAGGAAAACTCGGGCTTGGGTGGTGGCGATGGAGGCAGAGCGAAGTGGATGCATTTGAGATATAATTTGGAAGCAAGAATTGCAGAATTTCATGATGGACTGAATGTGGGAAAGGGAGGGACGAGGAGGAGGAAAGGAAAACTCCAGGTTCCTGGGTTGAGCACCTCGGTAGATCATGGTGATGTTTGTCGGCGTGGAGAACATGGCCAGACAAGGCTTGAAGGAGATAATCAAGAGTTCAGCGATGTCAAGCGAAAGCTCTGGTGGCTCAGGCTGGGAAGGAGTGCCTGAGGGAATCTGGGCCGAAGGAGACGAGGCATCCGGGTAGTGTGATGATATCCAAGGGTAGCATGCAATGAGCAGGTGGAAGCATTTAGGATGTCACGGGAGTGATCTGCAGTAGAGACGCAAATACAGGAGTCACTAGCATCAGGATGGCCTTCGAAGGGTTGGCAATTAGAAAGAAACTTCATGGTCAGAATGTGAAGTCAGAAGAGCGCAGGGCTCAGCACCGCGCTTTAATATTAGGCAGCCCAGGGGATGAGGGAGAGGCGGTGGGGAAAGAGGAGAGCAAGTCCCAGCGCGGAGCCAGAGGAAGCGGGCGTCACACTGGAGAGAGTGCTCCATTGTGTCTGCTCGCATCAAGAGGAGAGGACTACACTGCAGGTTTAGATGTGCATTTCCAGCTGCGTCCCGGGTAGTCTCAAAAGAAAGATTTGCAAAGGTTTCAGGACCTGTTCTGGGCAACCATGAAGGACTTAAGGTTACTCTGCAAGTCTAAAGGCTATTTTAAAACACCTTTTACCCTAGCTAGGTTATTCGTGTGGCGGGGGCAGACGTAGCAAAGTTGGCATTTCTCATTGAAGATTTCTCGTCCGCTAACCGGCCACTTGCCCCAAACAGGAAGAGGATTCGGGGAACGCTGTTTACAGGGTCAGCCGCGGGGTGGACAGTGGAGTGGGTTGATGGTCTGCACTTACAGCAGAGTTTTCCAATCTTCCTTTAATACTGTCTTTTAAGAGCAGATCCAGTGAGATCTGGAGGACACCAAGGTTGTATTAAAGATCAGAGCTTGCATTTGGGGTTCTGACTGGGACTGACTTTTTCTTTAAGAATGAGGACAGCAGAGTGTCGTCTTCTAATTGGATTGTCATCAAGATTTCCCTTTAAGGGAACCTGAAAATAAACAGACCAAACTTGCTTTGCCTAATTTAGGTTTCTTTGGAGATTGGGGGAAAGAAAACCCCTGAGGACTAAAATAGAGCAGGAGCTGATATCCAAGGGAGATGAGAGGTTTCTGGCAATGGCAGTAGAGCGTCTCAGCGACGCACACACGCACATGGAGAGCGCACGGAGAACAGGGCTGAGCCACAGGGCGGCCCGCAAGGGCGGGTGTTCGAGGGAAAGAGACCGTGTGATGGAACCCTCCGGTAGATCAGCTTTAAGTGTGGAGAACGAGCCAGTTTTTCTGGTTAAGTCCCAGCCTCTTCCCTGTATCCTACTAACCAGGAAAGTAATGCACACTGGAGGAAACAGAGTCAAGGACAGTTGCTTTTGTAGAGGAAGGTAAGTGAGTGTTTTTGAAATTCTGAAATCATCCGGGGTGAAGTTAACGTCCCTTTATCTCTTTTCTTTTAAGGAATAGGAGTACAAATACCAAGGAGAAAACCCTCTCAGTTGGGGAGAAGATCAACTAGGAAATGGATTTATAAGCATCACTGCTATACCTGACTGGGCCGGATGCCTCTCATAACATCAAGAAATTACATCAACCACACGAAATTCCTTAATTTCTTCAGCAAACGTCTACGGACTGTTTACCATTTGCTGGGTGTTGTGCTGGATCCCACAGACGCAGATGAGAGCAAGGTACACAGGCTTTCCGGTTTCAAGCACTCAGACGCGAGGGGAAAACAGACATACACTGTGAACAAAGAGGCTGTTAATAACATAATTTCATTTGGTGATAAAGACAGGAAGAAACTAAAACAGGGCTTGGTAGAGAGAAGCCTGTGGGGAATTTTACTGGTAATCAGGGAAGGCCTTTGGAGACCTTGCCCTTTGCCCTGAGATAAGGGGCCAATCTTACGCAGACCTGGGCAGGGCGGGCCTGGCACACAGCTGTACAGAGAGAGGAAAAGCGTCCTCATGGCTGGAGTCTAGGGAGGGCGGGATTGGCAGCTAATCTATTTGAGGACACTGTAAATCAATGCAGGGTTGCGGGCTCAAAGTGAGGGTCTTGGATTCTGCTCTAAGCCCTTGCAGGCTGTAAAGAAAAGGGTGTGGAGACGCAGGCTGCAGAGCACCGAGGAGGAGGGTGGGGGTTGGAGGTCACAGAGTGGATGCGCAGATGCGTCAGGAAGCGGTTACATTCGCGGTCCAGGCAAGCGAGACACCCTGGTGGCTCAGGCTGGGAAGGAGAGCCCAAGGGAGCCCGGCCGAGGGAGACACGGCGTCTGGCCAGCATGAAGCCCTGGGCTGCGGAGGAAGGGCCTGGGCTGGTCGGGAGGGCAGAGGACTGAACAGGTGAAGGCCCAGGCTGCCGTGGTGCCCTGCGTCCGGGGCTGGGTCAAGGTCTGGAGCACCCTGGGTGGGCTCATCCTGCGGCAGCTCTTCGAAGAGCACGCCTGAGCGTTTGCAGGCACCATCTCGGGAGGACAGCCGGGGCTGTGGGCAAGGGCGCGCGGGGCGCAGAGCTTAGCCCATCCTGTGCGAGCGTAAGCAGCTCAGCTCCGGCCTCAGACATACGAACTGGCTCAGCCAAAGAAAGCTCCGTCGCAGCCCTCACACGGTCTGGAAAGCAGCGTAGCCACCGTGGGCTGCAATGGTGTCGTGAACACAGCCCAGGCCGTGGGGGTCCACCCCCCCCACCCCGAGTCATTGCCGTGCCCCGCCCTGCTCCCTCCAGCAGCACACTTTATTCTCTGCACAGAATTCTGGGAAACACTTTTTCTATATCTCGCTACATTCCCCTCCCTTCAGCTTTACCTTTAGCCATTCATCACTTTTATATGTTGGAAGTGGGCACAACACATGCTCTTGTAAGAGGGTTTTACTACCCCAAGCCAACGGAAACCATGGAGAATTCAGCCAAGCCCTCAGTGGATGAGGAAGGACACCGAGTCACAGGCAGAAAGGGGTTTCCGCGTTGCGGAGCGAGTTAGTGGCTGAGGGGGGGAGCCGTCTCCTCTGTCCGGGTCTCCTTTCTACCAGCACACAGATGTCTGAGTCAGCTCTCTTGCAAACAAACAAAAGCTCGTATGTCCTTACCGGAACACAGTCCAGATTTGTCTGGGGAGAGGGATAAGAGCCTCTCACGTCACCACTTCCTCTTCTGAGGTAATTATTCCCAGCTCCTGGGTGTGGTCATCATGGCACCCAGAGAGAAAGGAAGCAAGGTCCAGGGCCGGACACCAGGGTGAGGTCCTCCGTGCGTAGACAGCAGGCTTGAGAGCTGGGATCTGGCTGCCCAAGGGCGAAAGGACCAGCCAACAGACCCCACCTTGCACCTCGAGGCAGGAGGCTTAGGCTACCTCGGGAGCCGCACACAGATTTGGACTGTGCTGCCCCTGGAACTGAGGTCGTTGCAGGGCACTGGAAATGGGCCACACCTGGGCAGGTGTGCAGGGCTCTCCGGGGTGTGCTGGTAAATGTTTCACAGAGGGCTGAGGCCAGGGAGAGGGTGCCTTGGGGTGTTTGCCAATTTCCTGCTGCAAATGACGGCACAGGGGGCTGCTTCGAGCCGCCCAGGAGGCACCAGGAGGACCATGGGGTTGGGGCAGCGAGCCCGGCTGCTGGTACCAGGGCACCGCGGAGCTGTACGAGTGGCCTGGGCTCCATGTCCTGTTCCTCATGGCCTGCTGATCTGGGGAGACCTCAGCGGGCCGGGGGGGAGACGAGGGGACCCTTCCAGGCCTGAGCCATGGGAATTAGTGAAACTGAGGGAGGAGGGGCGCAAGGAAGACAGCGGGTACTCTCCGGCAGATGGGAGGGGAATGCACAGGGCTTCCACTCCTTGCATCTGTATTTCTCATGTGCCTTACACAGATTTTTAAGTATGTAGCAATACTTTCATAAGAAAATGATGAAAATGGAAGAAACACATCCTTTTCGGTGACTCAGGACTGTCCACCTCTGCCGTGGACTGACCGGCCCCGGGTTTCAGTGCTTCGAAAACCCGCCCTGGCCTCCCCACTGGGCGACCTTGACCAGGTCCCTTTCCTTCTGTGGACCTTCGTTCCTCAGTGGAAAATAAAGCAGGTGAGGCCTGCCTGGAAATCAGGGCTGGAGGGGACGCGGACCTCCACTTCCCTTCCACTCGCAGGGCAGACGCAGGTGCTCCTGGCACCAGGTCTCCTGGGCCTCCTGTTCGGAGTCAACCTAGATCTTCCAGCAGCTGACTGCATGTAGCAAGAGAGGAGAGGTCTTCATTCTTAAGACTCGATCTCTTAAATTCTTTTGAAGATTTTGACTCTCTGTGTCTCTTCCTGCCCATGCTATGTTTACGTCTTCCAGGGAGGACTCTATCCCATTCCCACTGGCCACCCGTTCCCATTTCCCAAGGCCACCGCACAGCTAGACCGGCCGGCCCGAAGCACCATTTCTCCTGCCCTTTCCACCATTCTCACCCCAGTTCAGGGATGAGGTGAACCCTCCCAGCCCACGGGGGAGTGTAGGCTGCTGGTGTGTACGCCGTGTGGCAGGCCGGAAGCACATCCAGGAGGACCCGGTCTACCTCCTGCTGGAGGTTTGTGCAGAGGACCAGGGAACTGGGAGAAGTCAGCACAGGAGCAAAGAGGAGAAAGACGGGCTCAGAATGCAGCTCCCAGAGGACGCGGCCTGCAGGGCCGCACAAGGCTAGCCCTGGGGGACATAAACTAGAGGGCAAATGGCATCAGGCTGATTCAAGGCGACTCTTCCCTTTCCTGGCTGTCCTGAGGCTTCTCCTTCTCACCGGCTGACTATCAAACGAAGGAGGCCGTTTTACTCCTTAGCTCCAAATCAAGTTTGGAAACTGAACTTGTGAATGAGACACCTGAAACCTACAAGGATATTTCACAGCCGAGCGCCGCACGCCCCCTAGTGGCAGAAGACCAGTAACCGGTGTCGCGGGGAGCTCAGCTTTTGCCTGAGCTAGATCTATTTCCTAGGAAGTAGCGTACCACCAGTTTTCTGGGATCCAGCTTTCAGCTGGATGTTCAAGATGCTGAATAGATCTTTTTTTCTTTTAAAGTTAGGATTCTGGACAGGCATGTTACGGAGTGTTATCAAGGCACGCGAATGTCTGAGCTGAAAGTAATGATCATGTAGTTCATGCAGGTTTTTAAGTTACATCTAAGAAATGAATTCCACGGGGGTGAGGGCAAGGCCCATAGAGCGATGCGCAGCGGCTGCCGTCCAGTTCGGTGCTCGCTCCCTTCTGCAGCGGCTTCTCCGCACGTGCCGTCGGGCGCACCCGCCCTGGGGCGCGGCCTTGGCCTCTGCTGGTCCCTCCTTCGCCCCACACGGCCTCTGCGGCAGCGTCACCCCTGCGCCCCAGGGAGGCGGAGGCCGAGGCCCGAGGCAGCGGGGCGCGGCCGCCGAGAGGAGCTGCAGCGCGACCAGAAGGGCGCCTGGTCGTCTCGGGGACGGCAGACGTGCCCGTGCCCAGCCGTGGCCGCGTCCCTGCCACACGCTGGCGTTTGGGACCGGACACTGGGGTGCTCCGGCTGGATTTCTCGGTAGAGCGACTCTGGTGCAGCCCCGTGACCGTCCGACCGCGTGGCAGCCCTCTGCAGGGCTCTGCGTGGGGTCACGGGAGGAGACCTCGTCTGAACACCCGCGAGCCCAGCCCGGGCTTCGGGGTGAGGGGCGGCGGGCACGGCGACGCGGACTCCCGTAGCCGCTGCTAACGGGAGAAGCCGGGGATTCTGCATGCTTTCTGGGGGCACTGAAGCAAGGCCACCGCCCGGGAAGCCTGCAGGGACGCGGGCCACGGCGACGGCTTCGTGGTAAGGGCGCCTTCAGCGCCCGTGTGCCCATGTGCCCGTGACACCGGCAAGGGCTGCAGTAACGCCGTGGGCTCTTCCCCAAATACGGCTGCAACCCTTCCCAGGCAAGACTCCATTCTGCTGTGCGGGATTCCGCGGTGTGATTTCCCCCCTTCGGTTAATTCATTTTACAACCATCCCTGACGTTTCCAGCTGTGCGGGGCCCTGGGCATAGACCGGGGCTGGCAGCGTGGCAAGGCGGCCGGCAGGGCGGCTCAGCCTCCTCAGAAGGGCCCGCTGTCCCTCCAGACTCACCTGCCCCACCCCACCCCGTTAACCACCCGGCCAGTCCTTCTCACCAAAGAGGGTCCTGCGATTGCAACCCGACAGGCTCGCCCCCGAGACTGGCTTCTTTCACGCAGGATAATGCCGCTCATAACTGGATTTTAATAGTATATTTTGTTCTCCGCTTCTCAGCTATAAAGACAGTGCCATGCAGTAAAATTCCATGACTCCACAGGGAGCCGGTGATTTCACCGAGGCAGAGGCGGGTCTGAGCCATCCCAGCGCCGTGTCAGGGCAGCCGCAGGGCAGCTTGCTCTCTGGGTGGCATTGAGTTCCCGGCCGGGCCTCAGCCTGATTTCCAGGTAAACTGATAGCTGGTATTTGCTAGATCGTAGAGAACACTCTTTTATTGTCTCCTCCTTAGGCTGATACTCCTTTATTTTTCTTATTTTAAATAACATTTTTTATTTTGTGGAAAAAATGAAATAAAATTTCATAACAAAATAATAGAGCAATGACACTAGTTCATATATTACCTATTGTTATCTTCAAAGTGGGTACTCAGGGTGCAAGATACGGGGATCAAAGCTCTCCAAATGTTATTAGCACGGAGCTTTCCTTTCAGTGAACTAAGAGCAATTAGGAGCATAATTATCTTGTATATTTTTCCTTTTCCCTTCCTTCCTTCCTTCCCTCTTTCCCCCATCCCAGCTCCTCTTTCCTCTTGAACAATTTCTTCGAATTTCACAGTATCTGTTGTACATTTTGGTCCTTATTTACTCCTTCGGTTTCTCACACCAGGGAGGCAGTACGATGTTTACACACATGAGTGTGATTTAGTTCACACGTGAGTATGGTCTCAAGGTCCATCCATCTAGCTGTATATGATTCAAATTTATCCTTCTTTTTGGCTGAGTAGTACTCCATTGTATAAAAAGACCACATCTTTTTTATCCATTCCTCAGCTGATGGGCATTTGGGTTGTTTCCAAGATTTAGCTATGACAAACTGTGCTCCTATAAACATGGGTGCACACATATGGCTGTGTTATGATGCTTTTAATTCTTCCGGGAAGATACCCAGAAGGGAAATAGGTAAGATTTTTAAAGGATGGTATTTTTTAACTTCCTTTACCAATCGTGCTTTAAATACCTGCTCCAATCCGCCAAACGCACAAGGGAACTTTTGAAATGAAACATCCTTTAAAAGGTATGTTTTGAAACAAAGAGCTCTGAGAGGTCCGGATAAAAAGGGGAACAACAGCAAAACTGTAAAACCTCTGCCCTAGAATTCAGTCCTTGTCATGTTCATCCTTCACCCCTGCGCCATCAAGTTGCCGTCTGCCTCCGACCGACATCGGCGCCCTGGGAACCGAAAGGGCCAGGCCGCCAGGAGATTGTTTTCCCCGATCTGATGATCACAAGGAGTGTGTCAGATCCACTGCATCCCAAAAGATAGGGATGGTTTCTTCTGAGAAACCACAGACTTTTAAAATCATGGTGAGTTTTTAAAATGCCAGGAATATATTGAGAACGGTTCCCCTTCATTATGTTCTGGTTTTAGACTCCAGGCAGAAGAGCAACCCGGCTTGAGGATATAATTCTTTTGCTCTTACACAAATAAAGCGTTTTGTTTCTGAGAATACAACTGTAAAGAAAACTGAGGGGGTTTCGCGTTCAATTCCCTGGCTTCCCATTGCAGAGTCTTCCGAGGACGTGGCCTCCTGTGCAGCGGGACTTCCTGGGAAGCGAGAAGACAGCCTTCCTTCCTCCGTTAGAATCACCGCGGGATCCGGACCTACTTCCGTACGCCCCCTCGGCAGCTTACTGGGACGCTTTGCGGTTCAGGGAATAAGTCGTATTTCAGTGAGAGTGGTAGTGGTTTTAGTTCACTCCTGCAGGGCCGCTTTGATTGGAAGTGTGCTGCACATTTGTAATTTGGAATCCAATAGCTTCGAAGTCGTGGGCGGAACACGAGAGCCTCTTTGGACCTGGTCAGCACGTGCGGAGTGGGCGGAGGCACCGGGCAGCCGGGCGCATGACGCCTGCTCTGTGCTCCCTCAGCTGTCGTCCCCAGCCCTGGACATGCCCTACGCTGCACCCAACCTAGAGCAGTGCCAGACGGTTTGCGGCTTCCTGCGGGCAAAGCCCATGTCCGGCACAGCACGCCACGCCTCAGACGCCTGCTGGGTGAACAACCGGCCCAGCGGAGTTCGCTGGCAAGTGAGGCTGAGGGGAAGCAGAAGCTCAGCGCCTGCCCTGGGGGGAAGCGGTCTGGGCGGCCCGCAGGCTCAGGAGTGCGGCTTCCTTCCCTGACCTTGACAGAGAGGCTTGCGGGGGCAGAGAGCAACACAGCGCTCTCCGGGGGCACCCGGGAAGGACGCTCTGCGCTTGGAGCTCCATCCTTAACACCAACCCGGTGGTGACAGGCTGGGAGAAGTGGGGAAGCGCACACTGCCTGTCCCTAAAGGACATCTCCAGCCTCCGAGCACCGAGGCTTGTGCTGCGTTCCCAGGGAGACACGGCCTTGTCTTCCCAGACGTCTTCTGGTAGCGTTTGTTATCCTCCACCCAGACCGGGCCAAGGCCGTTTTCCTCAGGGCAGACACACGCCTCCCTTTAGCAGAGTTGCCTGATCTAGTAGGCAGCACCTCACTTTCCAAAGATCCGGAGTCCGGAAGGAGACCTCACACTGAGCTTTTCACATGAACTCACATAAGACTCACTTGCCCCAGTCTGCAAGGAAGACCCTGAGGCTCGGAGAGGTGTTGAGGCTCGGAGAGGTGTTGCAGCTCGTGCAAAGCCAAGCAAGGAGCAGGGCAGGGTGGAGGTGGGGCGGGGTCTCCAGTCCTTTCCCGTGCTTTCCAGCTGCGGGCGGGTGCAGGGACCAAGGCTCAGCCTGACAGCCACTTCCAGCCTCCGTGTTTGGGTCGACACTCAGCCCGGGACTGCGTCCTGGTGGCAGAAGGAGACAGGAGGCCGCTTGACTGTGATTAAAGCCGAGAAGAGAACAGGAGAGTAAGTGGCGCACAGGTCTGTGAGGTGCTGGCTCTCCTGGCAAAGTGCTTTCCGTTCATACCTCAGGAGGTGTTCGGCGCCCCTGGGACACTGAATACGGAGTTCTTTGTACAGTTCAACTCTGTGGTGTGTTTGTGTGTGTGGCGCAAGACTGACCTGCTGTGAACAACTTCTCGGGCCATGAGGCAGCATGAAGCAAGGGCCATCGCTGAATGAAAAATGAAGTGCTGTGAGAACAGAGGTGAGAGAACTCATTGCAACAGGAATCACGGAAGACTTCCGTAGAGAAGAGTACATTTCTTAGGGTTCTCTAGAGGGATAGAATCCGTAGAAGTATATGTATAGTTATGCAAGGGACTTATGAGGTAGGCTCACTGGTCAGAAGCAGCAGGGTCTACAACTCTCTGTGGGGATCAAGAACCCTCCACAGCCATTTGTGCACTGGAGACCCGGAGCATCCAGGGGCTGCTCCACCAAGGAAGAAGAAAGCTGCACAACAAGAGGGGTCAAGCATGCAGCACCGGTCCCAGGTCCAAGGCCTGGAAGCTCCCTGGAGAGTCACGGCTGCGAGTCTACGTTGGGAGGCTGAAGAAACTGGAGATCGATGTCCAAAGGCGATTGTGCAGACTGGAGCTCTTCCAAAATGGCGACACTTCCTTTTCCTTCCCTTTCCATCCTGTCCAGACTACAAGCTTAGTGCTTGGTGCCACCCACACCCGCGGTGGGTCTTCCCCCTCAGACTGCTGTTCTATTGTCAATTATCCTCAGAAATACCCAGAATGTGCTTTGCTAACTTGCTAGGTGGTCCTTAATCCATTCAAATTGATGTACCGTGATGAATGGTCACAAAAGGGTTTGTGGCAAGCTTTGAAGGGTATGGCAGGATCTCGAACGAGAAGGAGATTAGAGACAGATGATTCGTAACTTTAATGCACAATAATGTGGCCCCAAAATGTGACATGAAAATGACCTATGGTCTGACCAATCACATCAGTAATTCATTCTCTCTCCAAGGAAGAAGGAGGGACCTCAGAAGGGGCAACTGAGACATACATGGTGTAGGTAGGGCATGTGACCTACCCCTCAAAGGTAGCCAGGGTTTGGTGCTTCGGAATGCTGCTGTTAATATGGCAGAAAATATTGTATCTGAAGTCAGCAAACAGAAGGATTCATCCGTGTTCTACTAGTTCAGCAGTGTGCCGTTAACAGTAACAAAAACCCTAATAATCCTGACCATCAGTAACTGGCAATGTGCCAAGCTGAATGTTCCACAGGAAGTGCAGTTAGTATCTTGAAGGTACTACCACTTTAATCCCCACAATACCTCTACGACACAGGCATGTTCTTTCCATTCTACAGATGAGAAAAGTGAGATGCAGCTGGCATCAGACCCACGCCTCAAGCCCAGGTTTGTCTGATATCAAGGCCCGTGCTCCTGTAGCACTCACAGTGTTGGCTGTTATGACAGCAGACTCCCACCTAGGAGAGGTGGGTGGAGATCCTTGTCTGTCCCCCTCCCAGAGTACGAGGAGCCGAGTGAATGAATGTGAAGAAAAGCTGTAGGAAGGAAGGAATGATCTCATTCAAAGTCTAGTGCTTTTAAACGCTTGTTGAATAAATGCAAACTTCACTGGGAATGCAGTTTGTCTCTCTCTAGGATCCATCTACCTATTAGCATTCAAAATTATTTGTGAAGAATTGTTCTAAGCTGTAGAATAACAATCTTCTAGAAAATATTTTAGTGAAAGAACTTCCTTCCAAGTTGTGGTTGGTGTGAAGGCTCTACAGTGATGGAGAATGACCTTCAGTGACCTTCAGGAAAGAAATCACAAGCGCTCTCTCATTAAGCCCCTGGTGTGTGCCAGGAGTACTTGTTATCTCACGGGCTCCTCAAGCGTGAGCATTATAATTTTCATTCTTTAGAGGTGAGAGAACTTAACCGTTAAGAGGGAGAGCTAGTCATTCAGATTTATCTAACTCTAAGTCCAGGCATAAATCCTGAACGTATTTGTTTCCTTGGACTGGGAATATAGCTTTGGAGGCACAGCTCAGGAGCAACTTATAACCTTTCCCTTTCTACCAAGCCAAGACAGGAAAATGTAAACCCCTGCCTAGTAGAAAAGCAATGCTCCAAAGGTTTGGGAAAATAAGAGTTTCAGTGGCCCGCTGACCCTGAAGACCCAGGCAGGGTTTGGGCCGGTGCTGGGGTGCGGTCACTCCTGGGACCCTGGTGTGAATCCAGTGGCCGTGGCTCCAACACACGTCTTGTGAGAGCTTTGTTTTCCTCTCCTGCAGAGCTGGAGTCTTGTGATTGTGTTTGACTCGGGCAAGTCTCCACTTGAGGCTCTGGCCTAGCGTTGGAACAAAGTGGTGGAGGAGGCCCCGCGCGGTGTGGTGTGAGTCAGGCGCAGCTCCACGATGCCTGGCTTCTTGCTAAACGCCGCCCCCCTCCGGGCACGGACTTCTCCCAACAGCACGACTCGGAGCGCAAGTCTGGGCATCCCTTGCCCCACCAAGACAAACACTATCAAGAGCAGGGTGGGTCAGACGTTGAGAGCTGGGGTTTGACAGCCCGGGCTTTTGTCCACAGAATCAAGAGCTCTCCACCTCACCAAACATTGTTTGAGTTTTGTAGAACAAACACTGGAGTTTAAGTTACAGCCTCAGGTTCAATGTTTGGCATAGGTGACTTCTCGCACTTGGTGTCCTTGTTAATCTCTGCGATGGTAACAGATACCAGTGAAGGACACAACGGCAGGGTTTCAGAGATCATTCACATGACCTCCCTTCTTTTTTAGCAGGTGAGAAACTGAGGCTCAGAATAGAAGGATTCACTCGGGCTGGTCTGGTTACCTGGAGAGAGGGCTGTGCCAAAGCCAGGGCTCTGCACTCCTGAGACAGGGTTGTTTCAACTCTCTTGATCTTAGTTCTGTTTTTGCCAGTATTAGCAAATAAAGCTATTTGTCTTGGACCCACTTGGAGATACATTCTTCAGACGTGATCTGCTCATTATGGTAGTATTTACTATTGCTAAATATCTGGAGTTCGTTTGTCAGATCTGCCACGATGTGGTTAAGAATGCAAATTCTGAGGTCTGCCTGGCTTTAAGACTCAGCTTCACCCCTACTGGCTGCGCTCCCTAAGGGAATGTCAATACCTCTTTGTTCCTGAGTGTCCCTTTTCACGGAGCAGGGATACCAACACCAGCCGCCCAAGAGAGATGTGATGCTTCAGTGAGGCTGTCCGGGGCGGGTGTGTAGTAAATGCTCAGTCAATGTCAGCTGTAGTTGTTTGTACAAGGCCTTGAGGACTTTTAGTTTGGGCGCTGTCATTAACGAGCTTCTCAGTGCTTGTGCCTTAGTTTATTCACCTAGGAGAAAAACTTTGAATCGCTTTGCTGTTCAAAATGGCACGAGTTTATCTGCATGCGCACATTCAGCAGCGGACACAGCCACTCATGTAATGCGTTCAGAGATGAGTGAATGTTTACAGAGAAACAACTGCGCCAGGCATGCTGCGAGCAAGGCAGACAAGTTCTTGATTTTAAGGAGTTAGAGCTTGGCGGGCGGTGGGGTGGGGGGGATGAAAAGTAAACCAGCAGTTACAGTGGAGGATAATTGTGAGAGTTAAAGCACGGGGTGTGGCCGAGGCACCCAGCAGGGGGAACTCACACAGTGGGAGGGTGAGGAGGACACAGAGCCAACAGCTCATGGGCAGACGTTGGCCTGGAAAAGAGGAGAGTGAGGTGTGTGGCAGAGGGAGATGAGAACCGCTGCAAGTTTGGACATCAAGGGAAGCCGGGCAGTCTGTGTGAAATTTTTGTAAATTTTATGTAAGTCTAAGTTTAGTTCACAATAAAAAGTTAAAAAAACAACAGTATGACCATCCTGAGATCACTGGGGCACAAGGAAGCCTGCATTAGCCTTAACGAAGTCAGGGTTTGCAAGGGAATAGATTTAATGCAGCACACATAATTTCTAGGAATATTTTATAATGTTCATGACAAAAAGTCAAACGCAGAGGAGTGCAGGAGATCTTTCTATGTGATAGAGATCCAGTGAATGCAGCTGAGGGCCTGGATCCCACGGCAACGTCCTGTGCGGGTGAGTCCAGCTGAAGACCTGGAGCCCAGGGTGATGTCCTGCACGACTGGAGGCCTAGAGCCCATGACAGTGTCCCATGCGAGCCTGTACCGAGGATCTGCACTGGGAAGGCCCAAAGGCCCGTGGTGGAAGCTAGATAGTCTGTCCCAGTGGGATGGAGGAGCTGTGCCAGCAGGTGGAGGGATCTGCACTGGAGCCAGGAAGCGACGCTCAAGGTAAGGAGCAGGGCTCCCCCGAAGTGAGCTGCAGCCATCCTCAGCAACAGCGAGGACTCTGACAGTGAGAACAGCCAAGTTCCTGTCAGGAGAACCAGCGTGACAAGCTTCTCCAGGAAAATCAGCAACACCATCTTCCCCTCCAGGTCTCTTTTTATGCTGTTGGCAATGACCCTCACTCAGGTGGGGCTTCCACACCCAGGGCCACACCGACTCGATTCAGCTGGGGGTTATGCGCTGACCGTTTGTTTATCCACCACATACGTCTCTATCATTTGCTAGCTGAGTGACTCCAGGTAACTCATGTTTCCTTTCTGAACCTGGGGTTTGCATGTGAAATGGGTTAATAGTAAATTTCTGCAAGGGTATGGTAGGTGCTCAGGGGATGCTGGCTCATGTCTGGGATAGCTCCAGGCCAGGGGCAAGTGCTCCAAGTGGCCACTCTGCCCTCTCCACTGTGGGTCCCCTGCCCCAAAGAGCCATTCTTCTTTGTTCTGAGGACACCATGTGGAGGTGGGGGGTGGAGGCTGGACTTTGAGTTTGTTTTGGCCCAGAAAACCCCTGGAAGTCGTTGTGGTTTTTGTTTTAGGTCAAGGAAAATACATTCACCTTGTTCCTGCATGCATTTCTTTTCCTGGAAGTGGAACTCAAGTTAAAATTCCTGGAACAGAGGGTTCAGGTTCGCTGGGTTTTGCTGCGTGTCCATTGAACAGCTTGTACATGGGCCTCTCACTTGGGCAGAGGTTTTACTTGTTTTTTACTTAATAGGTTAATAAGTACATTTTCCTTTGGAAGCTGGAAGACTTTGTACACCTTCTGAGGCTGTGTTGAATCAGCATAACTGGTGGGTCAGGGTTGTGGAACCATTGTACAATCAATATAATTATCACAGTGATTAATAGGATTATCACGGGAAAGATCATTTATTATACTGGTTTTATGGCAGAAGTTTTGGTGTCAGATAAATGTAGGTTTAAGTCCTAAGCTGTGCAACATGGAGAAAATACCAGCTCCTTAGAGGGCTTTGAAGCAGTTCACTGGCCTTCAAGTCTTGGGTGGCTGGACAGAGCTAAGGTGGCCAGCACCCGCCACCCCTACTGTTTCTTATGTCTGCGCTTACCTACCAAGTTCCTGTTTGTCTTCTGGTGTGACAAGCTTTGTGCCGTTATCTATAAAACGGTGATAACAACAGTATCTATAACACAGAGTGATACCTCTGCAGAGTGTTTAGAGCCGTCACATAGTAATACACGGTATCTAAGCAGTTACTGTTATTGGCGCTAATAGTTATGCAACTGTTGTCTATAGTTATGTAACTGTTGGTCATCGTGCAGTGCCTTGTCGTTTTGTCATTCACATGGTCTCAGTTTTGCCGTTGGGAGCTCTACCAGGTTGACTCCTGTATACCTTTGCCATCATTTTTCTTTTTGAGCACTTTTTTGCTTTCTGGATCTGGAGCCAGTGTATTCTCCAGGGATCCCTACTTCCTTTCTTGGAAGATAAAATTAGAGACCAAGGGCTGGCTGCTGGCTACACCTCTAACTTTGACACAGGTCCTTTTGCCCTTGTGTGCGTGTCTGTAAAATGAGGCACCAAGCAGAGTTGTTTGAGAAGGTGCTGCAGGATATGAGAAATGGGTACAGCTAATGGCCAGCGTCAGAAAAGAAGGTGTCTCTTGGAGCCTAGATATACCCAAAATGTCACCCTGCCAAGCCGTCAGTGGAAGACATTGAGGGTGTCCTACATGGAGTGCAGAAGCATGACCCTGTAGCGGTGGTTATTTTCTAGTGATTCCTGATTTGTTTAGAATTGTTTGAAGTCTTTCCTTTTATTCCAACTACCTCTTGCTGTATAATAAATGCTCTCAAGGCCTAGTGGTGTATAATGATTGTTTTTGATCTCTCTTGTGGCTTAGTGATGTGGGGAACAACTCTGCTGGAAGGCTCTGGAGTCTTTCCTGCGGTCTCAGTCGTTGGTGGAGCAGCTGAGGACCAGCCAGATGTCTCTCTCCTATTGCTCCTTCAAGCCCTCTCAGAGATTCTCCAGGTAGCCTCCTGACTTGAGGTAGTTGGGCTTCCTCACAGCATGGTGGGCCCAGGACTGGGGGATGGCTTCCTTGGGAACCAGAGGCTCCAGGGCAGGCCTTCTGTTGGACAAGCCAGAAGGACCCTCACCTTTTGCTATCTAATTTTGGGATATGCTTGCCCTGTTCGTTCTGGTTATAAGCAAGTCACAGACATTCATATTCATCCTACCTGTCAATGGGCGGAATTCCAAGTCACATTTAAAGAGTTAGTGGAATGAGAGACCTTGTTTGGGGAAAAACTCTGACACACATTCACTCACACTACCAAAATATCTAGCATTTGAAAATGCACCATAAAGTCACAGAAGCTGGGAGCTGCTGTCCTAAAATCAAAGCGCCTTTCCGCGGTGTCTTTCTGTGCCCCTCCTCTCCGTTTTAGCGCTGTCGTGGATTCCTGCCCAGCAGGACTGCTCCGCTTTCCTGTCATGGATTCTGATTTTCTCTGCATGGGGATAACGATTTCCCTTTAAGATGCTGTTCGAGCTGGGTGTGGGATGTACATCTGTCATCCCAGCACTCGGGAGCGGGAGGCCAGAGGATGGCCAAAAGTTGGAGGCCGCCTGGTCTACATAGTGAGTTCAAGGCCAGGCTGAACTATATAGCGAGACCCTGTCTCAAGAAAACCAAACCAAACCAAACCAAAGAAAGTGAAGCAAAACAAAATGCTGCTTGTTCTTAATGTGGTGGAATACAGACTTTGAATGAAGAAAGCAGACAGCGGGAGAGCAAAGCCCCGGGCGAGCGGTGAACGCGGCAGGTGAAGGACGGTGGGAAGAGAGCGTGCAGTGGCAGGTGACGCGTGAGAACCCACAGCAGGACCCGGAAAACACGAAGAAGTCAAAACCAGGAGCCGAGGAAGGGTGAGGACACCCGCAGCAGTCCGCAGATCGCCACAGCCTGTCGTCTCGGGAAGAGGGGAGCAGGAGGTCAGGGGGGGCTCTGGGGATGCCCTCGGACCGTCACAATTATACGCACGAACGAAGATCCACAGCACCCGCCAGAGCTGCAGGGGTGTGCGGCCAAAGAGACTTCCAGTGCAGTGACGTGAAACCTCCCAACGGAGGAGGCCGGGCGCAGTCCCCCGCACGGAGCAGAATGGCTCTGAGAGCCGAGGCCGCGTGCTCAGGGCTGTAAGTTATGGGCCTTCCTCCTGTGCTGGCCGCACCGTTCTTCTCAGTCTCCTGAGCCACCCCGCTCTTCCTCCCTTTTACAGTCATGTGTCTGCTTTCACCCTCTTGTCCAATTAGCATTCATTCTTCTGATGATCTTATGTCTTTACCTATAGCAATTGTCACTGTCCCCTCTGTTGCACCTGGTGCTCTTTCTGGGGATATTTCAACCCAACACTTACCGAGAGCACACACACACACGTGCACACACACTCACTCGCACACATGCACACACTCATACACGCACACACGCACACTCACACAGCTTTGTTCCTTTTGGTCTTTAGAGATGACGGTTTTCACGCGCACTGGTTAGGAGATCTCTAGGAGCAGCAAAATCTAGAGGCTGAGAACTCTGCTCCTGACGTTGGACAGACAGGACTCAAAGGTTTGGGAGAGCCGCTCTTGTCCTGCACCACAAGGGATGGGAAAGCCTGCGTGTTTCATGACGGCTGATGGTTAATTTCCCAGGGAAACCACTAGATGGAGGCCATGCCTAAGGAACATAGGCGAAGGCACAGGCACTGGTCTCCAAGATTCCTCTTCCAGGACAAAACATGAGTGGGGACACCAGGAGAAAACCCAGTCTGTCCGAACAGGTCTGTGACTTGGTCCTGAGAGACGCACTTCCTTTCTATCAGCTCCAGGGATTCTCCATTCTCTTCCTGTGGTAAATAAGAAAGTTCCTTCATCAGGGCTTGCTCCCCAGGTGAGTCACTCGGTGCCCGAGGCTCATTACATGCAGACAACTCCAGGAATGTTTTGATTTTCTCAGTGCATTTTCTTCCTAAATGCCAGGACAGCAAGTTGTCTTTATTCTCCACTTCTTGTGAAGAATTCTTTATTTTTTTCCTTGAGAGGAAACTTTGCAAACACAGGTAACCCTCCCAGGATGCATTTATAGCCAGAAAGGCCAGGACCATAAACAGATCTGAAGGTGGCCCTTTCTGGAGAGGAAATTGAGTTTTTCTGACTCACACTGATTATTCCATAGTGGAGACACCAGGGTTGGACCGTAGTTTTATTGTGAAGATTACTAGAGGCAAGTGTGCATTTACTCTGCAAATAAAACTCCATTCATAGAGACACACAGTAGAGGGATTTAATGAGCTGCAAGCTCGCACATATGTGGCATTTCCATCAAATAAATCTTCACACTTGGAGATATATGGGCCAACTGGCAGTTCTCAGACATTCCTTGTTTCCTTTGGTGTTTAAGAAGGCAACAGCTTTGCACTTGACAAAGAATGCTTTGTGATCCAGCTCATGCAGATGAAGAGCGGAGTGACACATATTACCCAGGGAAAGCACACACCCACCCTGCCCCACTGGTCAAGGGGACTGAAGGCCAAGGGCGGCAAAGGTTTCTCTCCCGGGTGCCTTCGGTCCTGGGGTGGGTCCCTACCTCTGTCTAGTTTTCTTCTACCTCTGTGCCTCTGGCGTCAGCAGCAGAGGACATTTGTCAGCACATCTGCTGGGCCCCCTGGTAGGCTGGAAGAGGACGATGTTATCCTTCCAACCCCGGCCCCTGGACCACAGACAGTCCTGCTGGGATCGGTCAGGATGGACGAAACTACACTCAGTATTTGTAACAGGAATTGAATGCAGGTAATCAGAACCCAGGGGACGGAAGATCTGTGGAGCCTAAGAAAGCAGCCAGGCTACCCTGAGATTTACAAAGGCAAGAAGCCATTGCCGCCCCAGGCTGGGAGGGACCAAGGGAGTAGATGGTGCTATCTGAGCCCAGGGACTTGGAGCACCACGCAGAGAAGGAGCTTTAGAAAGCTCGATGGCAGCCATGGGGCCATGGGAAGTTATGTTCTTCTTCTGAGATGGCACTCAGACAGAGCAGGAGGGACAGACGGGCTTTCCTCCTGGGGGCTTCCCAGTCTCCCAGTGGTACCTCCCTTGGCTGAACCTAGCAGAAGGCAGCTGCCCGGGGCATGGAGATATTTTCTGCAAGGGCTGAGCCCTGGCACAGAGCAAAGGTGAGGAAGGGCAGACAGACTCAGGACAGGAGCGCAGGGGGCACTCCACCAGGTGAAGCAAGTCCAGTCATCGCTCTTCCAGGAACTGGGATTTGTTCTTGGAACAGGTGGGTGGGAGTGGGGTCTTTGTAGTTGGGGGATCGTATAGGGCTGGAGCTGTGGCTTCCTGTTACATTTTTGCTCAAGGATGGAAAAACACTAGAAGGGAGGGCTGGGTGCAGGACACACACACACACACACACACACACACACACACGCATGCATGTGTGCGTGCAGAATGAGTTAGATAAAAAGAAGATAGATACGGAGATGGAGGAAGAGGAGGGCAAAGGAGGAAGGAAAAGAATAAAGCAGATGGGAGAGAGAAGATGAAATAAGGAACCATGGCATCCTGGAAGGAGAAACCTCAGTTCCCTAATTCCAAGTCACGGCTTCTTCCTTCCTGAGAAAGGTCTGCGCTCCTTTAGTTGGCATCTGTTCGATATCCCTGGATTACTGGGCTGTTAAGTAGATTTTGGGGACTTGGAATTTTGAAGTCTTGAGCTACCTATCCTCTTCGATCTTCATCCTCAGTGGCCTGGAGCCCCTCCCTTGAGCCAAACCTTTAGACTTTGCCTGTAATGCTCTTTTCCCTTTCTCTCATCCCCAGATGAAATATTACTGCTTTACACCCCGAAGAGTGCTGGGCGTCGGTTCTAACAGAACCCATGTTTGTTGTAACACTCATTTCTGCTGCTGCAAAAGGATGTGTGAGGCTGCATTCTTGAAAAATAGACAGGATTTTTAGCCCCTGGACTACATAGTTTGCAGACTCTGGCTTGGAGATGATCATTTCCTTCTTTACATAGCTTTTATTTCTTTACCCTCAGAAAAGTGGTGAGCCACTCTGTGATGAGGAAACGTGTGCCTGCTTTAGCACACAGATGCAAGCTGCTGGGGAACGGCCTCAGAGATAGACAGGGCTGTTCACCAGCTCCTGCATCGAGGGAGGGTTTCGCCTTGGAGGAGGCAACACTCCGTAGCTGACGGCAGCTGTCCTCTACATGGCCATCAGGCTATACAGCCCAGGAAGGAAGTCTCATGGAGAGTGCAGTCCGGAGATAAAGCCAGAGTTCAGGCTCCATCAAGGACTAGATGCTCTCGAGTGGAATTTAGGAGTACGTTGGCATAGAGGTTTCTTACCAGAGCACCTAACTTTACTTAGGTGTACACTTATATTCTGTTCCAGAGCAGGAAAAAAAGACCTACAATTCTGTAGCATCTGAATTTGGCGATGCATTTAAAATAGCCATCGAGTTTCAGACAAGGTGATAGGAAATTAACAATGGTTGCTGTGTTACATATTTTATCTCCTATTGTTTTTCTGTTGCTTTGTTTATGTCTGTGTGTTTGTTAATGTTATCGTTCTTTTATTTTTAAAATAAATAGCCATCAAAACAACTGTTTTAATAACAAATTTTGTAATCAAAGTTTCATCAAATAAAGCTTTTTTGGTGGAGATATTTTAAAGAGGCAAAGTCATAGAGACTTTAGTCATATTTGGGCTCAGTTTTTCTATATTTAATCAGTAATATAAAATGCCAATATCCTCCACTTAGCAGAAACTGCACTGAATTTTCTAGGGAAGCTATTAAGTATAGAGAAAATATTTTCTGAGACAATATTACAATGGTCTTCCTGAAAAAGCCAATTAAAATCACTAATTTCCTTTGTTAATTATAACTTTTTAAATTATAACTTTTAACTTGGAAGATGACTTTGTGAAGATATTAAAAATAACATTACATAAAGAAAATATTTAGCAGTACACCAGCGGTAAAGTACTAGATCTGGATTTTTGTTCCAACATTGGTGTGCTCAGATACTTT